GCTCAGTTCCAACAAGAACACCTCTACTTGGGACTCTAGGAGGGATGAGCTCTGGAATAACAAACAAGAACATGACACAAGTATAGTAAGTATCAACGAGAACATCTTTACTACGTCTGAGCTCGTTTGTTTTATCCACGCAAGTGACTTGCTCCGGGTCCTTGGCAAAGTCGAACTTCCTCCCATTGGACACTTTGCCCCTCAAGGTCTCCAGCTCTTTCGTTTCAATCTGGACGTCCGCGCAGCCACCATAGCCTTCGGCAACGTACCAGGGTGTGCCCCTTGACTGTCGGCGAACGTTTGGCTTGGACATAGAACACTATAGCTGGCTTGCATAGGTAGGCCTTACCAATCCTCTGACCAGCAATTATGTGAGGTAGGACTGTACATGGGGCAAATATCATGTAGTCGAGCGTTTACCGGGACCACACCTGCCACCTGATCCAGGATGGGATGCTTGATGAAGGACCAAAGAAGGCGACCCAGCAACACAAGCACCAGGCACCTGAACATCACGACCATCAAATCTGAAACGGCCCGGATTGAATGGATTGTCCTGGAATGTCTCAGTGAAGTTTCAACAAAACACCAGCGAAACGGTTTAGATGGTTTGAGCATGCCATCCCGCACTGACTGAGGCCCCGTGCTGCAGACCTGTCAAGCCGAAGATTCCCACACAGACCGCCTGAAAAATGAAGGTGCTCGAAGGATGTGGAAAAGTGAGTGACAAGACAAACACTTGACTTTAACACTCAAACCGGTTTGAATAATCGATGATTTTGACACATTACCCTGGGCCGATGTTGTGTTGAACTTGAATCCAAGCGAACATGGAACTGCTGCATCATGCCAATCCGGAAGCAACGTGTTTAAACGAACAAAACAAACAGCCCCGCCCAGCCCCGCCCCAACGGGGCCTCCAGGACTTCGAGCGTTCGGAGCAGCACCATGTCGGGCGACAACAAAATTGTGATTGAAATGAACCTCCAAATGAATTGATGGGATGGAAGGCTCTTGTGATGTTTGAGTAGCTCAGTAACCTCTGGTGGTTACATCTTTAGGGCTTGAAGTCTTGGCTGGCTGGTGGAGTGGAAAACTGGGGTGTCAAAGGGTGTTCTGGTGAACATTGTGGTGCAGTGGTGCTGGGCTTGTCGAGTCTAGAGATAGGGTACTCCTGGGGATTACTTTTAATGGGCACCGTATCGCAAAAGCTGCAGTATAAAACATCCAATCTTCATTGTACGAGCTCAAACCTCTATATATCTTCATCAGACATTCATCATGAATGGATTGTCGATGACTTCTCTAGGTGGACCGATGCAACATATTTGGACGTACATGTCGGTCAAACATGTTGCAATTCTGACAGCAGTGAGCATTCATGGCCTTTCTGCCCATCACGGCGGATCTTCCCGCCCACCACCGCAGTGGACGGCCTTGACAAGTTGAAAAGCACTGAGGAGACCGTGGACCTCCCACTGCAGAAGATGACCCGGATGCCCATGATACCCAGAAGATGACTTATGAAGGCCTTCAAAAGGAAACAAACACTTCTTACGTGCGAAAACACCACGAACACCCATTCGCCATACAAAGCCCAACTGGAAACGGCCCCGTGCCGCCGTGCCGCCGTGCCTTGGGGGTTTCTTGACCTCCTCCTTTGGGTCCGGTCGACCTGCACCGGTCAATCAGTTACATCAGTCTGAACAAAAGTCTCCGTGAAATTGATCACCTGGGAGGGTTTTGAATGTGTCTTCTATCCTCTTCTGCTCTGGGTGTTGTTGTTGTCTCTTGGGCAAAAAGGGATGGCTGAAGAGGGAAGCGCCCAGAAGGGACATTGGCTGCCCGACGTTCGTCACGGGCCCTCTCATACCTGCACACGAATCTGGCAGCCGCACAGTCCAGCAAATCAAAGCTGTTGCATGCTTTTTGATTGAATTTATGATCAGGCCAATTGAAACGAACAGTGCTGCTCATATATATATATATATATCGCAATATATATATATATATTATACTATATATATAATATATCACTATGCGGGTCCCCAACCTCATGCGTGGAGCGCTGAAGGGCCGATTGGCCTGGGACTGGCGCGTCTTTCGAGTGGCCAATGGAGCGCATCGGGGCGCCGTCAGGGAATCCGCGAATCCGTCGGTGTCACCGGATTCGTGGGAATTATCTTTTCATCGGCAGAGGGACAGACATTCATTGCATCTAAGATGAAAACGGAAATTCCATGCTGAAACTGGTCATCAGGAATCCAAAAGAAACTCTTGCCTGCACGCGCAAGCGCACCTGTGAGTGGGGCCTGGCACTGGTGAGATTTGGAATGCAGGGCTCTTGAACCTCACCCGGTTCATAGTCGCTGACAAAGGCTCAGCGTATTGAACTGTCACACCATCAGTCTGCATGAGAGCATTGTCTTACTCCTCAACAACCCTGTGCACATCTAAACCTGGACATGGCTTTAGCATGCTTTAGCCTGAGATTTGAGGAGCCGTGCAAACGCAACAGCAATTTCGCGTCATTTCGCGTGGTGTGTGTTTGTTTCGCCTAGGCCTAGGGTACTAGAGTCTTTGGAGTGCCTTAAGTCCCTTAAGTCCAATACATTGGCCTTCTGGAGATGGAACATCAATGCTGAAACATACGTGATATTCTTCAGCAAAGAAAGTTGTTGTCGCATCTGGTCTCTATAGCCGGCTCTCAAGATGCCTGACCCATGGAATGTCTGCTGAAATCTGCCGGGCAGGAGAAGGTGCACCTCAAAATGCAAAGAGACTGGAGAAATGCAAACACAAGCAGTTTCAATCAGCTGTCTACTATTCATTTCACGTACTTTCCCCTATGTTGTCTGTCCTCTTGGCTGCTCAGTCCTTCTTCCAATAAATCAAAAAATTACACAAAGATCGGAGCATTGCCAGGTTTAAGACACTTAAAACGCGGGTGCATCAATGGCGCCATCATGATTGCCTTGGTACTTGTGTACCTAATTGCACCAAAAGCCCAGAAACTAATCACTGTTGCCTCCATGTGCCACATCCTTTGAATACGTTGCCTTTTTTTTTAAACAATTTTCACACTTGTTTTGAGAGACCATCTCAAACATTGGAGACTGAGTCAGGAAGAAATCCGCTTGTCAATCACCCCGGTTGACGCATTGACGCCACAGCTCTGGACGATTTTCAGCCAAGGCACACTCGCTTCCCGCAGCGGCAGCACTCGCGGCGGCCGCGGCCAATGCAAGGCCGGCCGTGTTGCCGATGATGCCTCAAACACTGATGCAAAAGCTCCAAAAGCCATTCGGATGAGATTAAATCGCATCAAACAAGAAACAGCAAAAGATTCAAAATAAGAAACAGCATAGTCAGCCAATTCTCTACCAACCATCACAGCAAACCCACTTATCCTCCTCAGACTTCACGAATCCACGTGGGTCCCCGAGGGTCTCTGGAAGCTCCGGACTGACCGACGGCGAGACGATGTCCATGCTGTTGATCCGTGCGGCGATGGCCGCCGCGCGCGACCGGGACCTGAGCTCTTTTGATGGTCGACGGGAGAAAGCAGCATTTCATGAGATGCCGGCTAAAGGTGCCTGGAGCTGTACTCTGAAATCTTGCACCGATTTCAGGATAGAACGAGTGAACCTGGGGGAACCGTTGCCCGTTGGGACTTCTCTCTCTGTTTTCGATTTTTGCTGGGTGCCCCGCGATTTGACACCTGGCCCACGCACACTCAGAGCTTCTAGATCCTTTTTCAGGTTGCTGTGGAACTTTCCAGTAGAAATCAGAAACTCAGGTAATACTTCAAACATGCAGGAAGCCTGGTGGCACAACAAATATAAGATATTGTCTGTCTTGTCAATCACAGCTGCTTGATCACTTGGGTGGCAAGACTGGACTGGTGTCGTGCAACTGGTCATGCCAGACAAGGAATCGAAGATAACGATCCTTCTGCGCCTGAGGTCCGGCTGGTGACACTTTCCGGGCGACTGCTGCCGGAGCGGAGTGGACTGGGACGACTGCTGGAGGGCGCCTGGCGGCCATAAGAGGAATCAACTTTTACTCCATGGATATGGAGGGTCACTTTGTCTCCCTGTCTTTCGTGAAAGGGGTGGGGAACATCAGAAGTTGGTGCGACAGTTTATTCTGACAAGACCAATGACGATCGGACGATGTCAGAGACTTTTGTTGGATCACTTTGATCTTCCTGGCGATGGACTGAAAGCTACATGTCCCTCCCGGCAAGGCCATTTCGAGCCTCGGAGAGCATCTCTGCAGCCTAGGTATTTGTGTTATTGGAAAAGAACGCTGGAGCAGCAACGGCAATTCTTCTAGGAGTTGATGGAGCCCTGAAGCCTATTGTTACGAGGTCTTGGGAGTTTCAGCACATTTGTTGTTGGTGTGGAACTCTTTTTGGATGATTTTGACCTGCGAGTGGATGCTTTTGTCTCGCACTCTCCATGCCATGCAAAGGCAGCTCAAGCTTGGACATTCAGAGCCATCGATGTAGCTTCATTGCTGCCACATTGTGGGCATATGATCAGCCGTGGACAACACGAAGAGAGAGACCGAGAACGTGGGCCTTAGAGGAACGCAGGTGCAGCATGTTGATGGAAACTACACATAAGACACCACATCAACAAACGCAGCAGTAGTCAGCCTATGTACCTTCCTCAATCTGCTCGCTTCATCTTCGAACAAATAGACAAACACCAATCTTATTCCTGCAAAATGGCTTCTCCAAATCCTGGAAGTCTGGCAGCCACCGAATCCACATCGAGACCAGCAGTCCAGCAAGCGATCTCCGCCCCACTGCTTCTTGGCTTAACTTTACTTTTGCATGGCCTTCGCCAAAGAAGGTCACACCTCTCTCCACCGCATCTGGGGCCTCTCGAGGAGTTTGTGGAACTCGCAAGACTCCTTCGGTGATTTAGCTGCTGTTCGATCCAGCTAGACCTTAGGCACTTGCCAGTAGCTCATCGGAGCTCATCGGAGCTCTAAAGCTCTTCGCTCTTCCTTTTGCGGTGCCCTTTGCCCTTCTTCGGCGTGGTGGCTTCCGGCTTCAGCTGGTTGAAGGTCCATATGTTGATGGTGTACTTCACCCCTTTCTCCACCTCAGGTACACACTAAACAAACATTCCCTTCATGTCCAGGCAACCCTCGAGATCATGACTTCATGTGGAACACGCATAATGAAATCTGGACCAACGCACGCAAGTCCACTTGTGCTTCTAATCCCTTGCATTGAACTTTTGTGGTCCAATCATGGCCACTTCAGGTGATTTTTCATGCATCTCACATCCTCAACCCACCATTCCAAAGCCGACGCTATGCACTGGCACCTTGCAGGCACCATGCATCGAGGACAAGTTGGGCGTTCCGTTGGGGTGCAACGAGTAGAAGAGCAAAGCTCGGCCTTCCAAGGCTGAATGAGGGTTCCAAATCCTACAAGAAGCTAGTAACAAGAAGCTACTAGGGCCTAGGGGCTCCTGGCCTTACTACTAGGAGCAAGGACGCTACTAGGGGCTCCTGGCATCGCTACTAGGAGCATTGTCACTACTAATAAGAACGCTCTGCCTTCCAAGGCTGAATGAGAGCCCAAACTGAAGCAAAATCATTCAAAACAAAGGATGCACACCCCACAGGACGCCATCCTGAAGCTCCAGTGGTCAAGTCGGGCTGGCACTCTTGGAGATCTTTTCAGAAAAACCTTTTGAAGATCTTTCCACCTGTTTCTAGCAATATAATCTACAATCGAATCCCACAATCAAACTACGAGAACCAGGGTTACACCTACAACCCAGTTCCCAATGGCACAGCAGCCCTGAGACGACTTCCCATGTCCCGGCACAGAAGGTCAAGTACCCAGTGCTTGCGCCTCGTCGGGGCTTCACGGAGGGACCCTCGCACTTCAGCACGTCAGAGGGCAGTTCACGGCCATAGGTGCTGGGGAAATACCTCGCAAGTCGGATATATCAACCAACCCTCGAGGCGGATTCCAAGCTTTGACATGGTGTGAAGTCCAAATCTGCTTCGATCTTGCTGCCAGCATCAAATGCTGGATGAACAGTGAACATAATGTGACAAATCTGGAGAACGGAAGTAAACTGACCGAGAGACGTGGCGCCGCCCTTTGCGACGTTGCCTGCAATCAAGCACAGGCTGGTTTGCCATGTTTTGCAAGCTTAGGTTGGGAAAACTAAGTCTGATGTCTTCTAAAGTATGGTATGGGTCGGAGTCGTGTCAAAAGAACCGGCAACATAGTTCGTTGTTTATTGCAACCTTTTGCAATGAACCCTTGCGACAAGTCGCTCAAGTACAGGTAGACTGTAACCAGCCAGTTTCGTCCATGCTGGAGTTCATTTGACACCTCAAAACCAACAATGTTAAACTCTGTGACTCTGGCTGCTGACTAATTCCTGACTGACGGACAGAACCAACGCGTGCAGATTTATTGAAACAAGTGATTCATCGGGCCATAAAGCCACTGACTAGGACAATGCACCTATCCTGTCAAAGCAAAAAAGAACCATTGATCGGAGACTTGCTTTGCAGGAGCTGCAGTGTGTTCTCTAGGTCTCCAGTCTGAGCCGTCACCTTGCCAAGCTCATGCAAAGTCAT